GTCAATCGAATGGGGACGATGTTAACACTCGCGCAGAAAAGCTTTCGGTGTCTGCGATTTACACGGTTCTCGGCGCATTCACTGCCTCTCTCGTTCATTGCCATCGACGCGGGAAGATTCTCGCAGAAGACGGAAATCGCAGCAGATAAAGTGTTGTATTGCCGGTTTCAGATAGCTGCCCAGGTCGTCTGCATACTATATACTATACAGCCCTGGCGTACGCTTCTTCGTTTGTAGCGCACGATCAATACATTTTGCGAATACATTATTTCGACTGTGTTTTATAGATGGGGCGATAATTGCGCGATTGAGTTACTTTGCCGCGTCGCAGGTGTTCGCTTGTTGGAAGGCGGCCATAATCAGGGCAACAAATTTACATGAAATCTGACGTGTCGCTAACGATGGATTTTATACAGGGCAAACAAGTGAACGCAAGAGAAGGGAGAGAGAGAGATAAAGGGCGATGAAGGGAGGTCCAATAAGAAAGGTAGAGAGGAAGAGAGAGAGAGAGAGAGAGAGAGAGAGAGAGAGAGAAAGAGAGAGAGCGAGAGAGATGTGTGTGAGAGAGAGGCAGAATGAGTTGAAAAAAGAGGGGGAATAATTAGAGAGAGGGGGAATGGGATGAGAGAGAGAGAGAGAGATGTGCACGTGAGTACGTGTGTGTGTGGGGGGGCTGACGGAGAGCGTGTGCGTATGAAAACGAGTGGATACGTGCGATTGCGCGTGCGTGTTCATGCGGATGTGTATGTGATGTGATGTGATGTGATGTGATTTGGGTGAGTGAGTTAATGAGTTCCTACCCACGCCTCGTGTGGTTTGTTCGTTACTGTCTGCAATCTGTTGACCTTTGCTTTAATTATGCAGAACTAGTCATCCGAACTGGACTTGTGTACGTATCGTGTACGTTTGTGTTTGTATCCACCCAGTAAAATAATAATATGACTACTGCGCTGTGAATGAATGTGTGCTGCATAATGCTGCGAAGCAATTGATAATGAGGATCGACGGAACTATTCATTGTTGCTAATTTGGTTAATTTGTCTTAACCACCACCGGTGTTTGGAATTCGAAATAGGGTTCAAAATTGTGTACATTTGAGCGGAACTCCCGATCCCGCTGAGGGGGGGGGGTGTCATCCGAACCCCCGGCTACGCTCCTGCACTAATTGTCATACTGGTTGTTTTTTCTCTCATAGATTTATGTCATTCTCCTTCCAGATTTCTTTCTGAAATTTAAAATTCACGTTTTAGAATACTGGAAACGTGCCGAACCAAGCGCATCGGTTGATTGTATAATCTTTCATCACCAATGAAGGTTACGTGGTGTAACGGAAGATAATTTGTAAGGATTTTATTTAATATTAAGCGGAATGCTCCCAGAGTACTGTAGCCTATGGGTGCCATTTACAATTAGTGGCAGCCATATTCATTTTGGCAATCACCGGTAGTTGCCCGGTAGCGCTCTTACGCGGCCAAAAAGATCGCCACGACAGTATACGAAAGAATCACTTTGTGTTAATTACAATAAGTGCTTCTCAAACGCCTACTGTCGTTTAGACAATTTCTGAGTCTGAGAAACGATATTCTGACTGCGGCTGTTCATATTGATCTGTTAGATGTATCTACTCGATTAACACTCACGTTTAGCTAAGAATTTCGTCTAGAGTCATTTAGTCTTAGTCATCTTAGTCTTCTTAGTCATCTTAGTCATCTTAGTCATCTTAGTCATCTTAGTAATTTAAAGAGTTCCAGTGACGAAACAAACAAGCGAACAATATCATAATATGCGCGCTTCGGCTTTTACATTGATTTCGATTCGCGGTTATGTTGTTTTGATAGTATAGCCTCGTGGATGTGAGTGTTTGCATTCCCGAGTCTTTCGGGCATGCGATGTTCTGACAAACCAAGTTTGCCTGTGATGCCGCTGCATAAAACATGTATCACTATAAAGAAGAAAGTACGTGTGAAATGGCTTCATTCTTGTGCGTTTCGTGTGTACATTATTCAGGATGAAGAAATAATGTGTATGAGATGCATATGCAGAAACGCCTGTGCAAGCGCAAGCTCATGGCGGCACACACACACACACACACACACACACACACACACACACACACACACACATGTGAGTGAGTGAGTGAGTGAGTGAGTGAGTGAGTGAGTGAGTGAGTGAGTGAGTGAGTGAGTGAGTGAGTGAGTGAGTGAGTGAGGAAGCGAGCGAGCGAGCGAGCGAGTAGGTGAGTGAATGAGTTAGTGAGTGTGAGAGAGAGAGAGAGAGTGTGTGTGTTCACGTATTGAAGCTGTGTATCTGCTGTTACATATCTGCTCGGTGTTGTCTACAGAATTGTTGTATTGTACATTGCGTTCTAATTAACCAGTGGCGCTTCAAGTCCGACGAGGCTGTGCGACTAATTGTCTATACTTCTAACCCTAGCAAGACCGTATCTTGGAGCTAAGGCGCTTCAACGAAATATTGTTGTTATTGTGATGACATGGGACGTCGTGCTCATAAATACGTAGACCCCACCGCGCACCCTAAAGATTACAGACCATTGCGCGGTAATATGTCACTAATAGTAGAAGCAGCTGGTGAGAAACTGGTTAGCATTGTAGAGACGTTTTACAATCCGTATAAATAGAAACGCTCGGAAACAGTTATATATTAGTTATTACATGGACAGTTACACATTAGATATTCAGTCACACTGTTACTATGTAGAGAGCCGGAGAGAGATCGAGACGAGGTGCGGAGCCTAGGCATGGTTGCATAGGCCGTGGTATTGTATATATTTGTATATGTGTCAAGTAATAAAGACAGAGTTACCTACAACTAATCGGCGGATGACTCTTCGCTACATCTCATCCACTTTGCTACAATCTGCTACGTTCTACGCTGTCGACTTTACGAGAACCTGAAGTTATCAACTTCTTAAGAACAATAATTCAATAGTACAATAGTAAGTGTGTGACTCTCCATATAATAACTGTTCTCTTACTAATTGTACTGTGTGTCCGAGCGTGTCTATTTATACGCTTCTTAAAAAAGCCCGGACGCCCTACAATCCGAACCAGTTTCTCACCCGTGACATGTTAACGCGCATTTGTTTGTAATCATTAGGGTGCGCAGTGGGGCTACGTATATATACAAGCACGACGTCTCATGTCATCACAATAACAACAATAACTTGCCAGGGTTAGAAGTATAGACAATTAGTCGCACAGCCTCGTGGGCTAGAAGCGCCACTGGTTAATTAGAACGCAATGTAGGCAATGAACGCAAACTACAATACAACAGAATCACGAGCCCAGCCCTAGATTGGCAGCAGCGCATCGCGTTCGTTCTTAATGAGGCTGGATGATTCAAATAGACACGATGCAGCGATAAGAACGATTTAGTTTTAATAAGATATCAACGCTTTGCATATCAACGTCGGGGATTCGCTGTCACGTGCACGACGCCGCCGCTATAACCTATGTCGACGGACCTTTATATTTTGTGAAGTTATCGACGTAATGCTAAACATAAATCTCGGAGGATTCGAAATCGCTACTTTCCCGCGTTATAAAATATCGCGCAGCAATAATTACACTTGCGCGCACGCATGGTCGCACGCGTACAGAAAGATAGTGTGGGAGAGGAAGGGAAGGGAAAGAGAGAGTGAGGGAAAGGAAGAGTGATAGCACGAAGGGAGAAAGGGATGGAGAGAGAGAGAGGGAGAGAAAGTGTGAGAAGGAGATGGAAAGTGCGAGGTGGTAAAATAGAAGAAATGAGAAAGAAGCAGAGAGAAAAGCCACGAGAGAACACACAGTCAATACATTATTCATTGCAATAAGATAAAACAGTAAATTAGAAACTCTTTATTTGAAGAACTGTAGAAAATCGGAAATTAAACTGTGTAATGAAAGATGGCCGTCGCGTAGCTGGCAGCGAAAAAAATATTAGTTTTATTTATGATAATAATTAGATTATATTAGTTTTCTAGAGAAATAACGCCCACATAATTTATTCATAATAAAATTTGGATAATTCATGAGATATAGCGAATAAACTTAATAATAGGTAATTACATCGTAATTATCGGAAATCTGTTATCGCCTTCTTTTCTTAGCTTGAATGAATCTTTCTAATCTGTGCCGCAGTTATGCTCCGGTCGCAGTCTTCCGAGAAGCGTTCTCATAACCTCCGTTCTTCCTCTCACGGAATATATCTCTAACTCTAATACTAATCCTACGAATAAACCTTATGATAATATAACCTAGCCCTAGCTCTAGCCAGAGTCCCTGCCATATAGGATACCTAGCCTAACCTCACCTAACCTATCCTAACCTCACCTAACCTAACCCAATACAAGCCTAGTAAGTCACCAGTTTTTACCTCCATACCATGCCATACCATATACCATACCATACCATACCATACCATACCATACCATACCATACCATACCATACCATACCATATCCCCACCAGGTGGCGCGTTGCCACTCGCAGACGAACGATGCTAATTAAAATCCGATTAGGCTTTTACGGCGGAGACGAAAAAGAAAAAACAGATACCACGTGACTCGCTGCTACGGACCGCCGAACTGCTTGCGGTGATCTGTGCGACCGAGATTCATCCGTAAGCTCGTGCATCCGACGGACACAGAGGTGACATGCGGGGCGAACAGGAACTTGAACCGGATTTTCTGTCGGCGGTCGTGCGCATGTAGAGGACCCGTAGCTTGGCTGTGCACACAGACGACAACCCATCCGCCCGCGCCACCACTACGACTGTACATACGAGCCTGCATTATCCGATAAAGACAGACAGACAGACAGACATGCAGACACAGATAGAGAGAGAAAGAGAGAGACAGACAGAGAGGAAGACATAGAGACACAAAGAGAGAGAGAGAGAGAGAGAGAGAGAGAGAGAGAGAGAGAGAGAGAGAGAGAGAGGATATATACAGAGAGAGAGAGAGAGCGCACGCTTGCGAAAGAGAGGAAAGAGAGACAGCAAGAAGGCAATCGTTACTATACGTACGGAAGGAGTGAGTGACTATCACACACACACGCGCGCGCGCGTACTCACACACCGCCACGATGAAGCATTACATCTACAAGTCGATCATGGCCGTCTCCATTGATGAGATGAATAATGCCGATGACGTCATTCTGGGCCACAGAAAGAAGACGGTAGCCCTGGCATCCGGGATCTACTCGCTGGTAAGAATCAAACTGTATTATATATATATATATATATACACACACATATACATATATATAACTAGCAGGACACCCGGCGTTGCCCGGGAAATAAAGCGCTCAGTTGGTGACCACTTTGTTGAAAGAAAAATACCCAAAAATCTATCTATCTATTTATCTATCTATCTATCTATCTATCTATCTATCTATCTATCTATCTATCTATCTATCTATCTATCTATCTATCTATCTATCTATCTATCTAT